AGAAATTTAAGAATAACCTATCAAATGAATTTCTATTCCGGGAACAGAAATTTTGTATCGTTATCAAACGCTATATTTTGCTCAAAAATTCGTCTGGGAAAGAGAAATACGGCCAGGGAAAGAAATGTTGTCATTTGCGCCCTATGTTTCTCTGTTTTTCTATTTTTCTATTCTCGGGAATAAGTTCGGATTAGAAATCTGTTTAGTAACGCAATTTTATTTTTTAATTTCTGAAATAAATTTCTACTCCAAAAATATATTTATAATAGAAATAAAAAGTAAAAATCTTCTACTTTTCTATTTGTGGAACACATATCAGAAATAAAAATTATTCTCATTGCTCGTCCTTGTTACTAGTCGACTGCCCACCCATCGCCCGCCATCGCCTCTTGCTGCTACCAGCCGCCTCCCGCCACAGTAGTCCATCGCCGTCCACCGCCGCCAGCCGTCTCTTGCTGTCCTCCGTCGCCGGCCTGCCGTCTATCGTCCTTCGCCACCGTCCTCCGCTGTCTGCCGCCAACCGACGCCAACCACCTCTCGCTGCCGTCTGTCGCCACCCAACGCCAATTGCCTCTCACCGCCGATCGCCGTCCTCCGCCGTATGTCGCGTCTTGACACCAACCACCTCCCACTGCTTGTCAGGCAGGCAACAAGAGGGAGAAATTTTATGCTATTTCTATTTCAGAAACAAAAATTTTGTGTCGTTATCAAGCGTGTATTTTGGCTTAGAAACTCATCCATAGAGATTTCTGGAACATAATAGTTATCATTCGCGTCCTTAGAAGCCCACTTTCCGGATTAATTCTATTTACAAATTATTAAAGGATCCGGGTAGTCAAGAATCCGTTTTAGTTTATACCTTTTGGCCATGAGGCCTTTTGCAACTTCGTTAACTTGAACTCTGTTTCTCTGTTTTTTTATTTTTCTATTCTCGGAAACAGGTTTGAAACAGAAATCCATTTGATAACGTAATTTCATTTTTCTATTTCTCGAACAAATTTCTATTCTAGAAATAGGTTTGTAATAGAAATCAAAAGTAAAAATTTTCTACTTTTCTATTTCTAGAATACATATCAAAAGTAAAAATTCTTCTCATCACTCGCCCTTGCTACTAGCCGACTGCCCACCCGCCGCCCATCATTGCCTCCTGTTGCCGCCAGTCGCTTCTCGCCGTCCTCCGCTGTCGTCCATCGCCGCTGGCCGCCTCTTGTCGTCCTCCACCGGCCTGCCATCTACCGTCCTTCGCCTTTGCCTGATGCTGGCCGCCTCCCACCGTCGGCCGTCGCCAACTGCCTCCCGCCGCCGTCCTCCGCTGTCTGTCGCCACTCGACGCCAACCATCTACGACCGCCGACCGCCGTCTTCCGTTGTCTACTGCCACTCAACGCCGATCGCCTCTCGCTGCTGGCCGCTGTCCTCCACCGTTTGCTGCCTCTCACCGCCGGCCACTATCCTCTGCCGTTTGCTATCTCCCCCCGCCGGCTGCAGTCCTCCGCCGTCTACCGAGTTTAGGAATGTTGAAGTGATTAAAAAATACCAAAGAAGTTGTCTTCTTAAAAAACTTTCAGAAGATAATCATATGAAAAAATTGGGAATAGAAATTTTTGTATTCAAGGAATAGAAATTTTGTATAAATACTAAACGCATTTATGTTCTTTCTCTATTCCATGAATAGAAATTTTGTGCAGTTACCAAAGGCGTTTTGTTGCTCAGAAATTATTTCAAGGAATAGAAATAGAAAAAAATATTTCTGATCAGAAATTATTTCTATGAACGAAAACGTTACCAAACAAACTCTTAATTTTTCAGTTTCTAAGCTCAATCTTTTTTTTATTTTTTATTTTTTATTTTTTCTTTTTTACTCAAATAACTTCAATTCATTTCCTATGAAATAAACCAAATACCATTTCTTTTTTCCTTTTCTTTTGTACTAGCAAAAAAGACAGTCGTTTATGCGCGTATAAAAATAAATGATACAAGAACACAAATCAAAGAGAGTGTAATTTGATTTATTTTGCGAAAATGAATTAAATTGTTAGAAAATGGAGAAGATTTATTTTAAATATGAAATTTAGAAGAGATTTATGTGATAATTTAATTATTATGCGGGTTCTTTCAGGTTATATTCCAACAAAGTAGTTTTATTGAATTTCCTACCATGGATATCATTAAATTATTTTCTAACATTTGAGGTTGAACGTAGTTGTATATGATGATAGATTTACTTAAATTATAGAGAAATTTTCAAGTTGTTAACTATTCGCTTGTTAAACTTTTTTGACCACATAACTTAGTGACAGACATTGGAGGTCAAACATCTGATAAGGGCATCGTCTAATACCGGATTGTGTTGGATTATAAGCTACTCACATATTGTGCTTGACTTTTCTTTTTATTATGTGATTATATTTCAAGGGGAAAACGACATTACAAGTGTCATAATTTCCGTGAAGTGCTCACTTGTGGGCCATAATTTTTTTCCCAATAACTTGAGTACCATATAATTTTTCAGTCGATCACTTGAGTGCCATAACTTTTTAAAAACGTTCATTTCTAGTACTCGAGTGAACATTTTTAAAACAATTTTGGCACTTAAGTAATAGATTGAAAGTTATCGAATTCAAGTGAATGTTTTTTAGATGTTATAACACTTAAGTAGTCGAAAACAAAGTTATGGCATTCAAGTGAGTGCCGTACGAAAGTTATGACACTTGTGATGTCCTTATTTTTATGTCTAGCAATCCGATACACTCACCTAAGCCCGTTCTTGACGGGTTGGCTCTAAGTGTGAAGGAGGTTCATCTAAGCACTTCATATCCATCTTGGGCTTGGTCTACTCTTATGGGCCCATCCATGTTTTAAAGTTTGTATTAACAAAATTTATTATCATTTTCCAATCCCAAATTGATTGTGCTAGGGGTAATCGGTTCTCGTTCCAATACGGTCCCACCCAAGAACTGAGAATCAGACCAGGAGGACTGGTTCTCAATTTTTGGAATCGGGGACCGGATCAGTTGATCCTGGGATCGGGAGTCCAGTTTAGTTCAGATACATCGTTTAACACACTCTCTCTCTCTCTCTTCACTAAAAACTAGAACCCAGAAGCCTAGAAAGACGGCGCATCTTGAGTGAGGATGGGGAATTGTTGGGGAGATTCATCTGCGCGACACAACACATTCGTGAAACACAGCCCATAAACGACCTGCACACCATCCAGGTAATTTTGAAATTAGTTCATGGGTTGTGTTCGAGCTCCGCTATTGATTGGTTTCTTTCAAATCTTTTAAGTCGGGTTCATATTGTGCTCTTCCAGGTAAGTTTGAAATCAGTTCATGGCGTGAGAGGCGTCGGCGAGAGGCAAAGACGGAGAACTAGAGAAGGATAGATTAGATTAGGGTTTGTTGTTTTTTAAGAAATTAAAATATATATAGTCAGTTTTTGGAACCCAGAACCGGACCGGCACCCGTTGGAACCATCCAAAACCGGTCGAGTCGGTCTAGTCCAGTCCGTTCGGTCCGGGCGGTTCCTGATTTGATCGATCCATCTTGCTCACCCCTAGATCGGACAAGGACATCTAGGCTTGATCATACACGTGGACCCGTTATTTAATATTTTCCACTAGTAATATCTATACAATGTGCTTTTTAAAAAAAATAAAGTAAGTAAATTGGAAACGCCAAGCTAAATGTAATTTCACTTGGGTGGATTACTTGAGGCAATAATTTGATTCTACGAGAATATAAACTTCCACATAGACCAGCAAATTGAAAAATCAACATCGTCCTATTTCATTTTGAGAACATTAGAAGAAAAAGCTCAGTAGCATTTCTCATGGACACTATATTGCTTCAAATGACGATCTCAAGTAATTTTACAGATAAATTTTATGCTATAATAAAAATAAAAGCCATTTCTATATCAACGTGCTTCGTGTAAATGCTCTTTAAGTATTATTTCTCGGGGTAAAACCATTATTTGAAATTTTCTGCTAATTAGATTAATTCCTATATCCCAGAATTTGAAAGTGTATTTTTTTTCTCAAATAAATTAAGTTGAAAAATCACGAAGAACGTTGGAATTGAGAATTCGGATGCATTTTTCCATCGTATCGCTCAAAATGAAAATCTCAAGTAATTTTACAGATAAAATTGATGGTAAAATACTTATAATAAACGTCATTTCTATATTGACATGCTTCATGCAAATGCTCTTTTAAGTATTTTTTTTTCTCGGGGTAACACCATTATTTAAAATCTTCCGCTGATTAGATTGATTTCTGTATCCCGGAATTTGAAAATGTATTTTCTTTCCTCGAATGAATTAAGTTGAACAACCAACATTGTCTCCTTTTCGTTTTGAGAACGTCCGAATTGAAAATTCCGACGCATTTTTCACGGGCACCATACCGCTCAAAATGACAATCTCGAGTAATTTTACGGATAAAATCGATGGTATAGTACTTATCATAAATGTCATTTCCATCTCGACGTGCTTCATATAAATGCTCTTCGCCGTTATTCTTCCGGGTTCAATCTCAATTCACTGTAATTAAAGCGTAAACGACGTGCCAACAATGACGGGTCGAAAAATTTCAGCACGACAGGGTTATGTATGAGCACTTCATAGAGAACCCATCTCTTTTTCTTTTTTTTTAACCAATCCGAGGCAATCGAAGCAGTCATGGAAACTAAAATTTTGCGATTCCTCGATGGACCATAGTATTGTCCGCCGTGCCGAGCGCCTAAATAAGTCAACAACAATCGAAAGTTTTACCCAAATTTACCCCAGTAGAGTTCAGCGGCAAAAGTCCACCTTCTGGTCTCCGCCACGACGCCGTTTCGGATCTCCGTGACTCGCTCCTGACTCGGTCAAGAATCTCGTTTCGAGCGCTGAGGAGCGCCGACTCAGTGCGACTCGCCCACCGTTGCCAGTCTTCTTCTACTTCTTCCTCTTCTACTTTACTCTTTTGCAGCTCCTTTCTCACTTTACACTCTCTGCGACAGAGGAGAGAGAGAGAGAGAGGGAGAGAGAGAGAGAAAGGGGAGGGAATCGTCGAACGTGATCTCCATTACCCACCTCCGAAGCGCACAGCTAGATCGATCCAGAGCTCGAAGAGAGAGGGGGAGAGTGGGAGAGAGAGGGATTCTAGGTTTTGCGGGGTGGGTTGCGGCGATGGCGAGCCCTCGGCCGGGGCGATTCGCCGCCGCCGCCGTGGCGGCTTCTTCCGGGAGAGCCGCGTCCCCGGCGCCCGGTTCTTCTAGGGCTCAGCCACAGAGCCCCCTCGGCGACCAGGCCATCTGGCGGCGCCTCCGGGACTCCGGGTTCGACGAGGAGTCGATCAAGCGGAGGGACAAGGCTGCTCTGATCGCGTATATCGCGAAGCTTGAGGCCGAGGTTCGTGGCGCGTGCCCGTTCTTTTAGTCGGTGTCTTGGGGAGTAACCCTTTTGCTGTGGTGCCTGTTGGGTTCGGTTTTGGTGTTCAAGTTTGTGTCTTTTCTTCTGTTGCTGCGCTTATTTTGCTACATTCATGTTGGTATGTGAGGAAATATTCTTTTTCAAGCGCCGCATTGATTTTGCTAGGGACGCGGAACGGAGAAGGAAACGGTGGTTTTGATTTCCAATTCTTGCATGTGCTTTGGCGTTCTAATGTTGGGTGAATCGTGCTGAGGATGTAGACCTATCTGGCTTGCTTTTTGTGATTTGATGACATTGTGGCAGCAAGGTGTTTATGGTTCATTTCTTTGATGTGGGTGTTTTTAGGCACGGTTTAGTTGCTATTAACTGAATTAGTATCTTGCGCACCAAGCAGACTGCAAATGCTATTCGACTGATCTCCTCGCAAGTCAAAAGCTGTTCACTTATGGCCTGTGGTATTTACCATGCTTCTTCTTATTTGAAGAAGAAATGCCATTTGCTCTATGTAATCTCACTTTATTGAGTTATGATGTTGTTGTACCATATAGGGCAATTTGGCAATAGAACCACTCATTCATTGAATTTATAGATATCAATGGGTTGGGCTGGGGAAAGGATGTGCATTAATTCCACGTAATGGATGGAATTTGCTGTATATTGTTCAATAACTCGGCTGTGGGGTTTCCATTTTTTGTGAGTTGTACATGAGCTCATTGGTTGGTTTCCCTCGCAATTGGTCAAATTCTATTTCATAATTTCTGATAACTTATGGGGAAAACAAAAGACAAACGTAGAAATGTACACCTTACACGTACAACTATAATAAAATAAGGCACTGCTATTTTATGCTAATATATTTCGTCCCGTATTATTCCTACATTATGCTACCCATGAGACATAAAGAAATCGAGGTATGTCATTTCTGCAATTGAAAGTTCTGTCTGGATCACTCTGTTTTGTTTCTACTTCGCCCCTTGCGAGATATGTGCGATATCTTGAATCAGAGTGTTATGTGAGCAGTTATTGACAATTTTCTAGATCATGTGGTTGTATAGTTCTTATGAACTACAATCACATTGTTCTCCTTCCACTATGGATGTATTGCTGAGTACTGATATTGTAATAAGTGCATTGGGTGTTGCTGACCTTTGAATACTTTGTATCTATTCTCTTTCGGTGTATTATGACATCTTGTTTTGCTATGTCTGATCTGTATGAACTGTGTGTAGATTTTTGACCATCAACATCACATGGGCCTCCTTATACTGGAGCAAAAGGAGCTTACTTCCAAGTACGAGCAAGCTACAGCCTCTGCTGAGGCTGCTGAGTTAAAATACAAACGTAACCAAGCAGCCCATGTATCTGGTCTGGCGGAAGCTAGGAAGAGAGAAGAGGCATTAAGGAAGTCTCTAGGAGTTGAGAAAGAGTGTATAGCAAGTGTAAGTGTAATCACTAAGTTTGCTGAAGTCTCTAGGAGCTTTGTTTGTGCTTCTGTCATGTTTGAGCTTAGATTTTTGTTAACGAATATTGCAGCTTGAGAAGGCCTTGCACGAGATGCGTGCTGAATCTGCTGAAACGAAAGTTGCTGCTGAAAATAAGTTGTCTGAAGCTCACTCAATGGTAGAGAATGCTCAAAAGAAGTTTACTGAAGCTGAAGCGAAGCTTCAAGCAGCAGAATCTTTACAGGCTGAGGCAAACCGGTATCATAGACTTGCTGAAAGGAAGCTGCAAGAAGTTGGGGCACGGGAAGATGACCTGACAAGGCGCATTCTATCTTTCAAATCCGAGTACGGTTACTTGCTTATTGGTTAATGGGACTTCAGTAGTTTCTATATAATCTTTATGGGTATTCTGATTGAACTTGAAATGACTTTTGCATTCCCTCGGCCTCTTATTTTTTTGTTAAATTGTGGGGGACGTATGCATTCCACATGCAATGTGAGTTGAAAGTGATATGTATTGGTAAATAATTAGGAAAACGATCTTCCAGTTAATTAGGCTATGTACACCTACTATGTATCAATAGAATTATTTCACCCTAGTGATGGAAATTTCAGCTGTCATTAAGGGAGTTAGCCGCTGTTAGTTTTTGCTGCTATGGCGAAATATGCTGCTTTGGGTCTGTTTTCATATGTTATCTTTGTCTACTGTTGTTTTATCCTGTTCTTTTAAAAAATAATACGGGACAATTTGTGTTCCTTTTTGTATGTACCAAGATGAACGGTCTATTCTCAACATATGAATGCATTTACTTGAATTAATCTAATGATTTTATTTTGCATGTCAGAAGAAATATCACAATAAGGCGCTCATTGTGTGGGTGTCTTGTCTTTGAGTACTTGATGTGATTTCTTCTCTTTGTCAGATGTGATGCAAAAGAGAATGAGATCTCCCTAGAGAGGCAATCTTTAGGAGAGAGGCAAAGAATTTTGGAACAAGGAGAAAAGAGATTACTTGATGGACAAGCTTTGCTAAACCAGAGGGAAGGATATATATTTACCAGATCACAAGAATTGGATCAACTAGAAAAAGAATTAGAGGCCTCCAAAGCTAACATTGAAAAACAGCGCGGAGCCTTGTATGATGAGAAATCTGATTTGGAGCTCAGAGTAGCTTCACTTGTGGAGAGAGAACAGGTTCTATCTAGTTCTCATTAATATGGTTGCGCTTTTGTGTTCGTGAACTTCTAAGGGTACGAGTCCTCTTCTGTTATTGTGTTGACAGGATCTTTTGAGAAAAGAGGTTTCACTGAATAAAAAAGAGCAAGAGCTGCTTGTTTTACAGGAAAAGCTTGCCAGCAAGGAGTCAGTAAGTGCTCATGTTGTCAATCACTTTTTTGTGAGAAGTGGGATAGTGTCATCTGATAATCTGATGGTGGCACTGTGCAGAGATTCATGTGCACATTTTTTCTTCTTTTATAAAAAATTTTGCCAAGGACTTTCAATGGTACATTTTGATTTAAAAGTTTGCTAACTTTAGATTATACTACTCATGCTATTAGGATGACATACAAAAAGTAATTGCGAATCATGAAGCTGTTTTGCGGTCAAGGAAAGCTGAATTTGAGTCGGAGATGGAGATGAAACGTAAACTAGTTGAAGATGAAATCGAGGCTAAGCAACGGGCTTGTGAGTTGAGGGAGATGGACATCACTCATCAGGAGGATCAACTAAGAGAGAGAGAGCATGATTTGAGCATTCAGATAAGGTCCTTGATGGAGAAGGAGAAGGATGTCAAAGAGAGGTCGGATAGTCTTGATGCAAGAGAAAAAAACTTAGGTTCTGCAGAGGCAGATTTTGAGCTTAGGAAGGATATCCAACAGAAGGAGAAGGAAGAAATTAACAAACTGAAACAAGATCTTCAGAAGTCTTTGGATTTGCTGGAAGACAAAAAGAAGCAAGTTGATAGTGCAAAGGATAAGTTGGAGGTTATGAAAAATGAAACAAGTGAACTATCGGTTTTAGAGATGAAACTCAAAGAGGAGCTTGATAGGGTCAGGGCTGAGAAACTGGAAGTTATGGCAGAGGCAGATAAGCTAAAACTAGAGAAGGGAAAATTTGAGTCTGAGTGGGAATCAATTGATGAAAAGAGAGAAGAACTGAAGAAGGATGCTGAACGAATTGCTGAGGAGAGAGTGGCTGTTGCTAAGTTTCTCAAGGATGAACGTGACAGTCTGAGAATAGAGAAGGATGCAATGCGCAATCAATACAAACACGATGTTGAGTCGCTTCGTCTCGAGAGAGAAGAATTCATGAATAAGATGGTGCAGGAGCGCTCTGAGTGGTTCAGCAAGATTCAGCAGGAACGTGTAGATTTCTTGCTGGAGATTGAAGTGCGAAAGAGGGAGTTGGAGGACTGCATTGACAAAAGGCGTGAAGAATTAGAAAGCTCCTTGAGGGAAAAGGAAAAAGCTTTCGAGGAAGAAAAGAAGAATGAACTTCAGCGTATTAGTTCTCTTAAGGAAGCGGCTGAGAAAGAGTTGGACCGCGTTGCTTTGGAAATGAAAAGGCTTGAGAGTGAGAGGATGGAGATTAACTTAGATCGTGAGAGAAGAGATAGGGAATGGGCGGAATTACAAAATTCTATTGAGGAGCTGAAGCTGCAAAGACAGAAATTGGAGAGGCAAAGGGAATTACTGCATGTTGATAGGGAAGAAATCTGTACCCACATCGAGCAGATGAACAAGCTGGACGATTTAAAACTAGCCCTAGATCGGAAGGCTGTTGAGATGCAACAATCTGTTTCAGAGTCCAGGCAAATGATGATATCTGGGAAAAGACGTCCTAAGCAGTTAACTGCTGTGAATAATAATAATTCGAACTTGGATGACAGAGTACATGAAGTGGGCCATGTCAATGGACCTAATTCACCACCTTTTCAGAAAGCTGGTCATTCTTCTTCTCCCAGCTCTGCTCCTTTCTCGTGGATCAGACGTTATTCTGACTTATTATTCAGGTCTTCTGAGAAGCCCCATTTGGCATGTGAAAAGGAGCCTCCCGCATCTAAGAATGATGAGCGGGCCACACCAATGGTACGGCAGCCAGACTTTTTACTCAGATATGATGTGCAGAAACATGAAGAAAAGAAGAGGTTGGAAGGAATTCCGGGAATGAGTCGGCTGGAGAAACATGTTGGGGAAGAAAAGACGATATTTGAAGTGCCAACTGGAGGTGAGGATGCAAATGAAGAATCTGAAAAGAAGGAAACTACCAGCCATAAGTCTTCTGAATCCATTACCGAAAAAGGGCTTCAAACCAGAAGAAAAAGAAGGGTGAAAGATTTACTCCAAGAAGATTCTGTTGATATTCAACCAGAGGAAAGGAAAAGCAAGAAGAACAAGGGAATGCAAGATGATGACAGGGCTGATCTCTCTGATTTAGCCAACACCAATCAGTATGATCCATCTTCATGTAGCTTATTTTCTTGCTCCTGTTTCTTAAATTTAATATCTCCATTTGTATGTGCAATGAATTCTCTTTCACGCTCTTTTTTCCAGTGTAAACGCAGGACAACCATGCATTGCTGATGTTGAAGACGCCCCTCTATCATCCAGAGAGACTCGGGTCGTTGCTGAAGAGACCACAATATTAGTTGTTGATAAAGTTGTTAATATTTTAGTGTCTTCTGAGAAAGAAAGCTTGCACCAACGTGTTAACGAAGGCAATGATGACCATCTGCTGGAACCTGTATTGAAATCAAACAAGGATCTTCTCGAAGGTGGATCTGCTGGCGTTGAATATGTTCCTGGTGGTAATGGCGTCCTCACACACAAAACAGCTTCAGAGGTACTTTTGGAAGATGTCAGACTTGTTAGTGACATTGATCAAGTAATAGCAATGCTCTTGCAGTGTCTAGCATAGATGTTGCAAGGTCGTGCCTTTTCACTCATATCTATGATAAAATTGCGTTTGCCATGATCCAAGTTTCCATCTACTTTAGTTGGAAACGATTAGGTTGAGGTTAGTTACTATATTGACGAGAGATGGCTCATGTCCGTTGCCAGTGAATCATTCTGTAATTAAATGCTGCATATCCAATGGTCTGCGGAGCTTCCTGTCTGATTCCTTTGATATTCATGACTTCTAAATTTGTGCGTGTTCTTTCTTCTAGGGTCATGATGCATCAGCTAAAGCTGACCAGATCCCTAGAGATGAAGGTCTCAGCAAACTAGATACTCATGGGGAGGATGGTTGAAAAACTGGAAATCAGAGAGGGTCGTAGAACAAGTTATAGGTGCCTGGATATATAGAAGACAGTTTCTGAGTCATTTGTAGATGCAGATAGGGTAATACATTCTCTTCTGAATTAGTAACACCTAAAATTTCAGTGATGAATCTAATATTTTTCTTTCTCCATAAATTAATTCTCTTTGTCTAATGTAGCAGATGGTGCAGGAGGTCATCAGCAGAGCATATATTGGAGCTTGCTCTAACCCTTTGAGATTGTAAATGACTTTTAATGTCTTGGTATCCTTTCTTGTCAATATGCTAAGCGATTGTTGGTGGCCTTATGTGTGGGCTGTGTGGTAGTGTGCGTTTCTTTTGGGCTGCTTGTTGATAATTTGGTTAGATAGGGGTGATGATGGGTAAATCTGCCTGCTTGTTTTTCGGTTTTGAGCAGATTTGAGGTTGTTAATGGCTTGATCAGTTTCTTTATTTGTTAGTACTACTGGCATGTTGAGATTCCTGAATGTGGAAATTTCATGTATCATTATTTTGTCCATCTGAATATGAAAATCACTAAAAGTTAGCTCGGTTTTAATTCCCTGAATTATGTAGCTTCTCCAATTTCGTCCTTTCCGGGGTTTCTTGGGCTTAAAATTAAAAAGATGATCTTCATATGGGGAACATTTGCAGGATCTAACCGAAGCCAACCTCTTCAGCCCATAATCTTGTGCTTTGGTAGAGACAGTAATGGGCACGTCATTGCAAGAGACCCAACACGAAGGTGGCGCCTCGAAGCGCAGCCCAAAGAAAATGGTTTGCGCGATGACCTGCAGTACACGGCCTCCAGCTGCAAACCCCATTTACATGGACTCAAAATCATGGACACGGCAGATTCACTAATTTAACATCGTACATTGCCGTAAACACTGAGGAACCACTAATCTTTTCACAGAATGTGCTAGGAGTTCGCGCTGAGTCGTTTACTGGCAGGAGCCACCCGTGATGTGCGTGACCTGTACCGTACGTTGAAATGGGTATAGCACTTCTTAGAGATGGGATGGACTGTGTTAGCTGTAACAAAGCCCAAGAATCTAGCCAAGTGATCTTCAAATCCTAGAGCGAAATGAAGTTGGGTTTTCTTAAAAATGTCCAAGAGAGGAAATGGGAAAGGCGTTGGGCACGCATGTAAATCATACCGAGTTACGGTTCTATAAAATGTCAATACTAGTTTGAGGTAGGGGAGGTTGCTATCAACGGATGATATGGGGGAAGGTTTGAGTAGACTGTGGTAGTCATAAGGAAGACGGTGATTTTGTTAACGAGCGATCTAGCCTTGACACTTGCCGGTGTAGAAGTCTGCGATGTTATAGCAGTTTCACTCATCATCCATTTTTTTCAGGAAATCAAACGTATAGTGTCGCACTTGGGAGGAAGAGGAGCCTTGGAAACCAAGAAAGTTCGGGTTCTTCGTACTTCAGAGGATACTGAATGTTAAGAGGAGTGGTGAAACTGAGAAAAGAGATGCAGATTTAGGAAGGAAGAGAGAGGGATAGGTGGCATTAAGAAGCAGATCGATTTCCCCATGCTGCATACGAACGTTGGTTGCATACAGAGGCGCGGCGTTCTGTTGTGGTTCGCATTTAAGGTGGTGCCCCTCCAAGGAAAAACTCGATGATCATGGATAGTGGAAGTTGGCGAAGTACGATTCCCGTGCATGATCAAATCGTCTTGGGTTGAATCATAGTTGAGGCATATTTTTCGATGGAAACTTCTTGGACGTTACCATTGATAATAACATTGATGTGGATTGGGTAGCATCTATCTAGAAATAACAATGTCAATCCGAAGCAATTGAGCCTATAAAAGAAGTCAAATCAGGAAAGAGGGATAGGTAGAGTCGGATGACAAATATGGGTGATAATGCGTGGAAAGTAGAATCCCGCTAACAAATGATTAAAACGTTAGGTGTGTACAAGCGAGAAATCCGACGTGGCAATATTTTAATATAAACGGTCCGATGTGGCTCGCCGGTGAGATGAGGTCAGCAAAATTAGTGCGAAACAACATTGATTTGGCCATTTGTTTGCCCCCAAATTAACAAATTGGTTATGAATTCAAAATGTTTTTCAGGACCCTAACCCTAGACTTACGAATTGGGGCAAAATTAGAGTCGTTTTCTATGTTTTGAAGGGCTCTAATCAATCTTGTTCGATGTGCTTGCCTACTTTCCAAAGTCATTGAGGTAGAGATTTGGAAGCTGAAGAAAAGGAATTCGCTTGGTTCCTCCTGCTGCGGCAAAGTCCCCTGAGGTGAGTCCTGAAGGGGAAGTTGTGAGTGAGAAAGCTAATGTTGGTTTAGATGAAATGGATAAATAGATTGAGAAGGACACCAATGGCGATAATAAACAACCAGAAAGCAAAACTGATGAGGTCGAACGAAATCTGTTGCAGATAAGGAGGATGTTGCAAATAAGGATATGTTGACAACGATGTAAAAACGCATCCAAACCTAAGCAAGAGGGCAACGCAGCAACTGGAAGCCGTTTGTTCGTTGATGGCCAATTCTCTTTGTTCCAGAGAGTTGATTTCTTCAAGTGTCATCAACGTCGACTCCCGATCACCCCGTCATTTTGTCCATTGTCCACTCTAGTTTTGATTTTTTTCTTAAGTTGCGTCAAACTTAAAAATTCATTGAAAATGCCACATGAGACTTTTTGCCATAATATGCCATTTTTTCACCAATATGACATTCAAGTGATCGCTTGAAAAACTTTGACATTGAAAATGAAAATCCAACAAAATTTGTAGCGCTTATAATATCATTTTCTCCTTTAATACGAGAGCTCTTTTCCAAACTCCACCATAGTTGGAAAAACAAAAAACCTCAGAGGTTCTGGTAAAATCACCTTATCACCATGAGTGGTTTCTGCAGTTTATCTACAGACAGTTAAGCATATGGGGGAAATAAGGGTCGCAAGGGGGCAGAGGCTCAAATCAATTCAAGAGGAAAAGATAACATCTTAAACTGAATCAATCATGATCAAATCTCGCCCGACAATTTCATTCGGAAAAACAGAGGATGAAAGTCAAATTTCCTGCCCTAGCATTCCTTCCATCATCCAGGTAAAATAGGCCTAACAAAAATAGGGATAAACAGCGCTCTGCTGCAGAAAAGCAAGGCAAACAATGCACAACCATCTTTGTTCAAAAATTACCCCCCAGCTTAAGATACAACTACTAAAACCAACATTACATTAGATAAAGAGCCTATCAGAGAAAAAGAAAGGAAAAAAAAAGCTAAGGACAATGCTTGATAGTATCTCCTCCAACCTGTGGTAGGTGCCACTCAAGTACACCATTTAAGCAAACCAAAATTCCTAATCCTCTCCCTGACTTTCATCCTTGACAAGCTTGATCATATCATCGATTCGAAGAATTGTTATAGCTGCTTCAGTTGCAAACTGAGGAGCAAAAAATTCCAAAAGCAAATTATAGCAGCCGAAATCCCAAAAAAATAATAATAATAATTAGTGAATGCACATATTCATGCTTCTTCCTTACCTGTATTATCTTTACTTTGCTCATTGCTGGTTCGATGACACCGGCTTCTAAGTTGTTACGGACAGCTCCTTTAGATAGATCTAATCCCATGCTGCAAAGGTTGACATGAAACCAACAGGATCTTCATTATAAAAGTCAAAAGAATAAAGCAAGCTAAGTAATCTTATAATGAGATACTACAACACAAATTACTTATCAAGATGGTAAACGGTCTTAGAGTAAAGTCTTCGTTTGATGCTGGTCCAACTCGGATGATTGAATCAACCTAACCCTTGATCCCAGTTGACATAATATAGATTTTAAAAGTTTACAAATCCCTTCGTATTATTGCTTATTCCTATGACGCTCAACTTGAGAGAGTAAATTATATAAGGATCTTTCTTTGTCAGAATATATTGACTTAAACTGCCGTGTCAGTTAACTTTCATCTCACTTGTTAAAACAAATCCAACCATATGCTTGCAACTTTGAATGATGATATATGTCCTTTCTACCATAAAAATATGATATCCAACCATACAATATTTTCTTCTCTGGGTAAAAGATATATAACTTTCAAGAATTGGTGAATAAGCTTATTCTCTGAACATCAAACCAACATCAAATCCATTCCATGACATGACTCTGACATAGCAAAACAATTTACATCACCTTAGAATTTGTGTTCTACAGGCTTTTTGGACATCCAACGAATATTAAGGTGTGTTGGTAGAGCAGCTATCTATTCACCTTCCAATTAATTTGTATAATGTCATTTTGTTTCTTGTTTAAGCATCACTGTCAACAAACTAAGCTGTGAAGAGGGCATGAGAAAAGGTGAAATCACGATTGCCTATCAAATTTGCTTTTCCTGGAAGTCACACATCTGTTCGGTCCTGATTTTTCCAGATGTTCTATAAAAAATTGCCAATCTTATGTCCACACGTGTATTTGTCCATAAGTATGACATGGTGATCTTGTATACAAAAAATATTTTATGCACTCCTTGCAGTGAATTAGACTAAAATAAGCAGGATCGAAAAGAAAGATCAATGGATCCAATCTTAAGACATGGTTACCTAAATGCTGGCCATCTGCAAAAGACATCACCGTAAATACACAACAAAGAATTACCTTGACAAATGCTTCTTGTCAGCCTTAGTTTGTGCAGAGTGGTGGTAAGCCCGTAGTTTTGCAACTAACTCAGTTGCATCCTTTGCAGCATTGACAGCAAGCACCTTCAGCAGAAAAAGATTTTTAAAAAATTTGGAATATAATTTCCAAAGTACTGCCAAATCGGATGTAGTGCTCCATTAAGCCCAGACAAAATCAATGTAAAGTTTGAAAAAACATTAATGGATGTTAATACAGACCTTTGGTATAATTAATAATGACTCTGCAAATTCTGCAATAGCCAACTGTTCACGGGATCCTAGCGTCGTTGCTAGATACTCCAAGTAGACAGATAAGGCAGCCTCAACCGCACCACCACCTGCTACCACCTGTATCCCAGCATAACAATAAAAAGGGGGGAAAGTGGGGAACAAACGAAGCAAAGCAATCATAATCACATTTGTAAGTACAGTGCAGAAGTGCATATCTTAGTTAAGGTCATTCTGATACACAACCAAAATGCTAATAGATTATGTGGGGAAAATGCTGAAATTGTACAATCTACGTACAGCCAAATTCACAGGTAGCTGGTCCAGTTCTACAAGGAAGTACTCTGATATTATCACTTAATATTTAGCCACTCCCAACATCATGGATGAGATGGCTCCTTGGGTTCTTTTACATGACTTTGTTTTGGTTCCTTTTTTTTAATGACAGGATTGCGGTTTTTATTATTTATTCATTTGTGGATTTGAATCAAAATAATTTCATTGAAATAATCATAAAAATGATAATTTATCATGTATATATAAAAATATACTATTAATATACAACGTGTCCCAACATGTCGGAATTCTCTAGTTTTTGAGAAATGACGTGTCGGTGTGTCGTGTCGTGTCGCG